CCCCCCCTTCCAACCCCCCCCCCCCCCCCCCCCTCGACGTCTACCACCCTGTCGCCTCCTCCTCGCGAGAAAAGACCCGGCGCAACGGACGAGCCTTTCGCGGACCAGGCCAGCGAGATCCTGGACCAGGCGTGGCCGGTGATCCTGGTGGTGGGCGCGATGATGGCCGTGCAGTGGGGCGTGACCCTCTACTTCGGCGCCGCCACGGCCTCCGGCCAGGTGCTGCCGATCTACCTCACGCTCGCGGCGGGGGGCGCCGCGTACTTCCTGTACCAGGAGGAGAACATTGGAAAGGTGCGGTCCTCGTTGCTGTCGGTGGCGGCGGCGGTGGCGGTGGTGGTGGTGGCGATATTTTTGTTGGTTGTGTGGTGAGCGCGAATTTGTCGCCTTTGGAAGCAAGATTGCCTTCCCGACCAGTTGGACGTATTGCAAGCTAGATCTTCAATGGGGCGCGGGCACACGGTGGCATCTGTACGTGCGGTGAAGTGCCACTACCATCATCTTCCTGCACATGCACACAAAAGAGCTAGCTTGTAGCTGGCTGCCCTGGGATAAATGACTTGTACGCAGACGCAACCGTTATTTGCCTCTGCGGTTTTGCCCGCTGCTGCTACATCCGCTTGCCTTCAGGGACGTCCACCAATCATCCCCCTGCTGCCCCCCTTCCCTCCGCCGTGGTTTGCCGCCACTGCTGTGTTACGAAAACACGACGGAAAAAAAAAAAAAACAGGCTTGGGAGTGCTTCTGCGAGTTCGACGAGCTGGCCAAGTACGCGTTCGCGGTGTTGGCGGTGGCCTTCTCCTACGCCCTGGCCAGGGTCTCCCCTGGGAGCTCGAAGGTGCGGTACGGGACAAACTGCGTGCCTACTACTACCGTAGGTGACACGAGATTACGTGTGATACCGCACCCTCTGGACGTATTTCCGGAGCTCGATGCCTCCACGGTATGGAGATGATCCATCAATGAAACGATGCGTTTTACGGGGAGGTCCCGTCGAGACGGCCCCAACGCCGCCATTTTCGACGCCGCCGCTTGTGGTGTGGAGAAATCGAGCTTCGAAAGTCGGCCCAAGGGGGGTGTGGTGTCTTGTGTCACCTGCAGGATATCTGTCTTGTCTTGTCTTGTCTTGTCTTGTCTTGTCTTGTAGCACGCCGACCTTTCTGTTGGCTGCTCCCGGCTGCTGCTCGCCCATCACGCCCTGCCTTGGATCTTGCTTGTGTTCTCCGCTTTGCCTCGCTGGCTGGCTCGGTATGTTTTTGTTGCGTCTCCCGACAGCCGTCGTGTAACCGCAGGTTGTAGCGGTGTTTTCTCTCCGCCCTGCTCCTCTCTGCCGACCCGCCTTGTCTGCCCATGCCGCTCGCTCCGCTCCGCTCGGTTGCTTCCCTGCGGCCGTGATTGCGGTGCCCCCCCCCCCCCCCCTTCTTGGTTGATGTGTATGAAATTTTGGATATCCTTTGGTGTTGCTTACGGTGTGCGCACTCTGCGTGTGATCCGATCCCTTCCGTGCTCACCGACGATGATTCACTGCTCTGTCGCTTTGTTGCCTGCCGCCTTCTTGCTCTTTCATTCTCTCTTCTCTCTCTCTCTCTCTCTCTCTCCCTCTGCCTGTTTATCTCTTCTCCCCCCTCCCGCACCTCTCTCTTTGTGCCTATATCTCTTTTCTCTGTCTCCCTCTCTCTGATTGTGTTTGACAGGGATCGAGCGGTGCTTCGTCGTCGTCGGGGCAAGGGCTCGCCGTGGAGGACTCGGCCTTGGTCGTCTACCCCCGCGAGCTGCCGGGCGACCCCAAGAAGTCGTTCGAGGCCATGCACAAGTTCCTCGTGGAGGAGCTGGTGGCTGACGTCGCCGACAACGTAAGAAGATAATGGGACAAGGCGGAGAGAGAGGGAGAGAGAGAGAGAGAGAGAGAGAGAGAGAGAGAGAGAGAGCGGGGGCGACGTTGTTTGCTCCTTTTCGTGTGGCGTTGGACACGGGCGGGGTGTCAAACACGTGTGCTCGTTTCCCCAGCTCAATTGGTTAGAACTTGTCCTCGCAGTATGTACAGTGTAGGATTCTTGTGAAGCCGGCCACTGGCCGTGCTGATATGTTTTTCGGGGGGTTATACAACGTGCCGCGTGAGTGCAGCTTACCCCCTCCGGTCGTTCTTTGGATTTTTCTTGTTAAGTGCCTGCTGTTTCCATTCCACCAACGGTGCGTGGTTTCGTCGAGACCTTCCATTGTACGACTCGGTGCTGACACGCCGCCGCGAATCTGTCGTGTAATTCTTTCTTCTTCGGAACGTTTTATTTTTTTTCTTCTTTTCCGAACGCCAACACAATACCATGGTACCAGTACGAGGGAATCCCGGCGCAGTTGGATTGGATCCAGGAGAACCTGGAGTACAACACCAAGGGAGGCAAGATGAACCGGGGGATGGGGGTCGTGGACGTGCTGAGAGCGTTCGCCGAGGCCAACGGCAGGGAGCTCCGCCACGAAGAGGTATAGGGGGGGGGGGTCGCGGAGGGGATTTGTTTTCCGGTGGTTTTGTTTGTAGGGACCACCTCTCCCGTACCATATCGTTTCCCTCTTTCCCCCGTCTATGGCCATGTCCAGAATCGTGTACCAAGTGCGCGAGCATTTTTTAGGTCTCCGTCTTACGGGGGGGGGGGGTTGGCTGCCACAGCAGCATGCAACAGAGAGAATCGGTGGCACTCAGGGCCCCAAAGAGGTGCGTTGACGATAGACGAGGCAAGTTGTCAATGGGAAAATGAGACCCCACGTTTCATCCGGGTATAAGAGGTGCGTTGACGGTATCTGAGACAAGGTGTCGATGAAAAAATGACCCCCCCCGCCCCCCCCCGCCCCCACGGTTGACCCAGGTATGCCGCGGCAGCATTCTTGGATGGTGCGTGGAGTGGCTGCAGGCGTTTTTCCTGGTGGCCGACGATGTCATGGACAGGAGCCTAACCCGCCGCGGGCAACCCTGCTGGTACAAGGTGGGGAGACAGAAACAGAGACAAACACATGCTGAGTTAAGGGTCACCCAAAGTGTGAAAGGAACGCGTCAGCAGATTTGTTTTTTTCGATGGTGTGTGTCGGCAGCAGCTACGTTTGTATTCCAACGACTCTTACGACCGACTCTGGGTGCCCTCTGTTGCTCGTCCTCCCCCCCCCCCCTCTGTTTCTCTGTCCCTCTCTCTCTCTCTCTCTCTCTCTCTCCGAGAAGGTGCCCAAGGTGCAGGAGATCGCCATCAACGACTCTTTCATCCTCGAGGCCCACGTGTTCAAGGTGAGTCAACGCTACTGCTGTTGTTCAAGCGGCTACTGTAGACAGGAACCGCGAGAGGTGAGGACGGTATTGTCGCCCCCATACCGCCAAGGTACGCCGCCACGCCGAGCGAAAAAAGAACTTGTCTCTTGTCAGAGGTCTTGTAGTTTCGGCGGATTCGAGTGGGGGGCGAGTACAACGGGCCTTGAGTTTCCGCCCTCTCTTTCCGAAAATATTCGTGTCTGAGGTCCACGGGGCGACGTGCCCCCCTTCGGTTGCATTCGGTGGCACCCCCGGTGGAGTTTGGAGACGTCCGTCGCCGTGCGAACGAGAGATTTGGGTGTAATCGTGTCGTCCTGCTCTAGTATTTTTTTTTCTGCGCACGTTTGTTTTTTGTTGTTCTGTGTGCCGACGCGTTGCTAACCGCGCAACATTCCATCACCCCGCACGTGTCTTACTACACTTTTGCCACATTGTCCGCCGTGTGTGTTTTCGCTACTTCTGCGTGTCCCGCAGATGTTGAAGCGGCACTTCGCTCACGAGAACTACTACCTGCAGCTGGTGGAGCTGTTCCACGACGTGACCTACCGGACCGAGATGGGGCAGCTTCTGGACCTCACGTCCCAGCCGATGGACGCCCCGTCCGATCTCACCAGGCAAGAGACAGAGACAGAGAGAGACACACAGAGAGAGAGGGAGGGACACAGACAAACACACACACAAGTAATAGATAGAGACAGAGACGGGAGGCACACAGAGAGAACGGGATAGAGACAGACGGGGACAGAGACGGGGACAGAGGACATAGAGAGACAGACAGAGACCGACAGACAAGACGAGAGTGAGACATACAAACGACATTAGGTAGAAAAGAGACGCAGGGTGCTCTGTTGCGCGAGGGAGGGCGAGATATTTTCTCTCTCGATGGCATGATAATCCTTGGGGGGTGAAATATAGGTGATCCCGTAGGTACTGTAGACTATCCCACGTTTTTGCTGGATGTTCCAGACTGGATCTTGCGGTATTCTTTGGGCGTACCGGCAGTGGTTGCCCTGGAGATGTCTTTTCACAATCCCACGAAACGCAGAATGCCACCCCTCCCCCCCCCCCCCCGCCCCCTCGAAGACGCTGGTCTAACAGCTCAAGCATGCGAAACGCGAAACATGATTGCGCCCCCCACCCCCACCCCCTCTGCAGGTTTACTCCCGTGCGCTACCGCATGATCGTCCGGTATAAGACGGCGTACTACACCTTCTACCTGCCTTGCGCGATCGGCATGATCTACGCCGGCGTGAAGGACCCCGCCAGCTACCGGCTCGCCCGCGACATCTGCTGCCGGATAGGGGAGTTCTTCCAGATCCAGGACGACTACCTCGACTGCTTCGGCGACCCGGAGGTCATCGGAAAGGTGTGTGTCGTGCTTGGGATCATGTCCGTAAGGACGGCTCTCGCAGGAAGCGTTTCTACATGCACCCGCGGTGTTGCGGGGTGCTTGTTGCAAAAGGGCCGCACGCACGTCTGGACAGCACGAGCGGTGTTGTTGACCGTACCCTGACAATATTTCCACGTACAACGGCTCTTGTAGGCGCAGATTGAAGCGTGTTTCTAGATACCCGCGTTGTTGCGGCGATATTTTTGCATAGGACCGAGTTTTAGGGACGCACGCACACGCACATTCGCTACAGCACCTTCCCTCGAAGCGGTGTTGACAGCAGTGGTAGTGCCCTGACAGCGGCGCGACAGCGGCAGCTCCGTTGTCGTTGTTTTCGATGAGTTGGGGGTGTGCTGCCGTTGTCCAAGTGACCCCCTCTCGACTCTTTTGGCGCCCTCCCCGACTTCTTATTGGCGCCCTCCCGGAGGTATTCGGTAAGGTTCGCGAAACTACTTCCCCACGTTCGAAAGGAACACTGCCCCAAGACCCATTCCGTGAACCAAGCCGCATAAACAGCACGCGCTGGTCTCTTTGCCCTCATGGAACGGCCACAGCGGAGAGGTTGGCGGTGGTTGTTGAATACGTTGAGATGAAACCGTCGGTTTCTTAGGTCACCACTTCTGTAGGGGATCGGACCAAGTGTTTTACCTACTGCACCGTCTCGGGGCGAGAAACGGACGAAAATACACAACAGCAAGCGAGACAAATGTTGCAGCAGCGGCACCATGCGGTTGCATGCCCCAACGTTATGGCGGCGTTTGGTGCGGCCGACGGGGCTATCGTTTTTCCTGTGCGGCGGGCGTCTCGTCCTTTTACTTTTCCTCCTCCCCCTTCCTCCTCCCGGCGATTCGCATCGGCTTGGTTCTCGTTCTTACTGTTTTCCATCTTAGCCAAACAGCAGCAACAGCAGCAGCAGCAGCAGCAGCAGCACAGAATGATCACACGCGTCTCTCCTTTCTTTCTTGCTGTGTGCTGTACTGTACGTCGCTGTTCGGAACGCGCAAACTACGCTTTCGACGACCGAAAAGGTGGGCACCGACATCCAAGACAACAAGTGCAGCTGGCTGGTGGTGCAGGCGCTTGAGAGGGCCTCCAAGGCGCAGAAGGCCGTCCTCATCCAGAACTACGCAATCGACGAGGAAGCTAAGGTACAGCATGGGGGGGGGGGACCGATGGTAATGGCGTGGAAGGCATGCTTCATTTTTGAAACATGCAGCAGTCTACTGTAGTCCGCTGTTGGTTGTGTTGCTGCCGATGCGGCGTTGTACGGTCAGCCTGTTGGTGGCGTTGCTGTTTTTCGTGTGTCGGTCCAACCAAGCGGTTTGTCGCGTTGCTGTTTTTCGTGTGTCAGTCCAACCAAGCGGTTGTCGCGAAGAGCTTGCCGTTTCAATGGGACATGCAATTGACTGTTGCCAAAAGTCATGTTCGAGCAGAACGCGAGGGTGGCTGTGCCGAAAGCTTTGGGGGAGCAAGGTATATCTTTTCAACTCCTGCAACCCTCGATGATTTCCTTTACCATGCACACACTCGGCGTGAGCTTCTCTCTGCGGAACCACATCATCGGCGTTCTTGGCGACCTCTTCGAACCAAGGCAACAAAGTTGTCAAATGACGGTGCTTCGTGGGTTGGCATCGACCTCACAAAATCGGCCAAACACGGCAAAATTCGCTACAGTAGAAAAAGAAGCACACAAGAATCGCAAAGGACGGCCTCTGTTCTACTGCTGTATCTTTTTGAGTGCGAGTGTTAATTTTGTGTTTTGTGTTTGCATTTTTTTGCTCTTTTCGTCAAGATTGAGCGCGTCAAGGAGCTGTACCGCGAGCTGAAGCTGGAGAAAGTGTACGCCAAGTACGAGGAGGACACTCACAAGCAGATCAAGGAGCTCATCGCGAAGGTCGAGGACATCCCCCACGCGGTGAGGAAACGGGGGGGGGAGGGGGGTGTACTCATAGTCGTGCATGCCGTAGTCGTTAGACCATTGCATGGGGGAGGGGGGGGCGGCGGTTGGGGCGTACCCATGTTTTGCATGCCTTAGCGGTTAGACCATTTACCACGCGTCCTCGAGAGGACGAGGTATTGTTCCCACAGGAAATGGGTGGGGGGACGACGCCGCTCACACAACCTGTGACTCTGTTGCCACAGCTTGCCCAGCACGGATCTCCGTCCATTTGTGTGTACGGCGCACGGCGCAGCGCCTGCAGCTTGTGTGTGTTTTAATCTTTAGCATCGACCGCGCTAACCGGCTGACCAATGAGAAGACGCCAGTCTCAGTGCGGTGTGTGTGTGTGTGTGTGTGTGCGTGTGCGTGTGCGTGTGCGTGTGTGTGTGTTTTTTTTTTTTTTTTCTGTACGAAGTGAATGCGCAGGCCGACGGGCTGCGCACGCAAATGTTTTTATACATCTGTGACGTTGTACCGAGCGTGGTACGTTTTTTGTTGTCTTATTTGTGGGAAGACGCGCGCAGCGGCTTGGACATTGAAATGTATACATTTTTCGCGAGATGCGCCCAGTGATTTGATAAAAACCGTAGTTTCCACGCGCCGTGCGAGCGCACGTGCGTGGTGGTTGGCGCGTTTCTGACCGGGCAGGCGGTGTGCATCCGTTTTTTATTGTCACGGGGGTTATACCGTCCGTGCCGGTCGTAATTTTGGTACTTCATATGTTTTATAATTTTTTTCCAGCGGAGGAGTTGCAAGAGACTTGTTTTCGCTGGGGCCACGTCGTGGCGCAGCACGCGCCGTGGCTTCTTCGGCACTTCCCTTTGTCTCCGCGTTAGACTCCTGCTGTAGGTGTGTGTGTGTGTGTGTGTGCAACGCTTGCGCCATCATCGGTGCCGTTTCACTTGACGCACGAAGGCCCCGTCAGGGAGAGAAAGTCCACCGCCACGCGCATGCACCCGACGGTCGTCCTCGCTGTCTGCCTCCTTCCTGCTTCTTCCGCAGCTTGCTTTTTTTTGTTTTTCTCTCACTCACGCTCTGCCTATGTACGGCGTCCACCGTCTGCTTGCTGTTCCTGCAGGTCTTCCACCAGTTCATCGACAAGATCTACAAGCGATCCAAGTGAAGTGATCGGCGCAGCGAGGCGTCTGTTGTAGGCCATTCTGGCAGTCGGAATCCTCGCGGGGGTGAAATGGCAGGGGGAGGGGGGGGGGGGGGGGCGTACTCTTATGTTTTGCATGCCTTAGCGGTTAGACCATTGACCACGCGTCCTCTAGAGGACGGAACATTGTCCTCACAGGACCGATCGCCGATGGCCAATCGTTCCTTCCTTAGTGGGAGTTGGGGGGGGGTGCGTGGCATGCAACGTTTCGGTGTTCCTGACCGTTCTCGTTGCCTGCTCGGCGTGCGTGCAAGACCCGATACTTGTTTTGGTTGTGGTTGGGCCTGCCTGCTCTGCTCGTTGGCACATCCTGATACCTCCCCGTTTGCTGCGAGTTTTTGCGTTTCTTGGGGTCCGTTGTATCTCTTCGTGTCTTGATACGGGTTCTCTCGGTGTCTATCACTCGCTGCTCTCCTTAGCGGCGAGTTGCAACTGCTGGATCGTTGTTTTTCGAATTTGCGTCTGCGACAGCGGTTGACTAGTTGTTGAGGAAGGTTCTAAGGTTGGTTTTGTGGCCGATCCCGTGGACGCATTGTGGTACCTGCCGTAGGGGCGTGCGGGCACACAGCAAAGTACGTTGTTGGTATTTTGCGTGTAGATGAAGTACGTAACGGACACAAGCAACTTTTGCTGTCCCTTTGTAGTTTCAACAACGAAACGTCGGTGTTCACGTACATACATACTTGGTAACGCGACGCGTGCGCCGCGTGGTTGCTGTCTTCCGAGCCGCCAGCCGGCGTGTATTTGCGACGATTTTGGCGCGGCTGTTGGCGTAGCAGGTCTCCTCCAGACAGACGCCCCCCAAAAGAAAGCAAATAGTCGAGTCGATATAATGAACATCGATCATTCGGCTGGCGTGTTGAAGTGCATCGTACCGCAGTCGAATGCCATTGATGATGACTTGGGGTGGTTGTCGGCGTTATTTGTTTTCTGTTTCGTCCCTTGCTTGAAGGCAACCCCGCCTCCATCCACACTCTCGATATTATCAACATCGATCATTCGGCCGGCGTGTTGAAGTGCATCATCGTACAGCAGTCGAATGCCATCGATGATGATTTGGGGTGGTTGTCGGCGTTATTTGTTTTCTGTTTCGTCCCTTGCTTGAAGGCAACCCCGCCTCCATCCACACATCCACACACTGCTTGGTGTATTTCGGTTCGGTAGGCAGCCATCCTGTTCCACATCTGATATCTTTGTACCAAAGGAACGAACGCAGTCGAAGTACAACAACGTACAAGTGAGCCAACGAGCCTAACTTTGCTTTCGGTCGGTGTTTTCGTGAGAGACCCCGGATCGGAGCTCTTCCCATGTAGAAGGGTGGGCAAGGCCGATACTGCTGTGCGGTAGGAGGACGGTGTTAATATAGTGCCATGTTTTGTTGCTGTTGTTGTCTTCACCATAAAACCATTCCGGTCTCCGAATCCTTGTATGTTTACTGGTCAAAAACTGTGAGACGTGGACGGACGCCTTACCTTCCACGGTCGGTCACAAAGCCACTAGAAAATAAATAAAAATGGTGCGTGCGCGATCAAGGATCGGATGCTGATTGTCTACTGGTTGCAAGTGGTTGTGCATGCTGATTATTTACTGATCGTTTATCATGGGGTCGTTGTCCCCGATAAATATGTACTTCGAAGTACATGGTACGTCTGCAATCGTCTGTTGCAGGCAAGCAACATTCTAAAAGCCTACCTGGAGGTACAAAGTATGAAGGGAGCTCGCAAGTCCTTGAATTACTGCATTTTGTCGTCAGAACAAGTGATCATGACCCACAGTCAGTCGTGCTGACGACGTAGATCCTGTGATGCAGTCTACGTTAAATTTTGATTAAATGCATGCAGATAATACATGCCGGTGTGCCGCCCGCAGTCGTCAGTCTGTCGCCATGCCTGCCCCCTTCCCTACCAACGACTAGGAAATTAAATTTGTTGATGTTGTTTCAGAGACAGTACTGCAGTAGTAGTTCGTACAATAAACCGCAGCTGGCTGAGAATGTTGATGACGATGCACACTGACGTGGAGAACAACAACAGGAGGAGGAGGAGAAAAAACGTCGGAGAGACGAGGAGGATCATCTATCGGATGCCGACGGGCGGGGGCGACGAGACTATTCCGACCACCTCATTTCAACGCACACATACGTACGCTTGACCGCCATACGAAATTGCTTGTATTTATTTGTAGTCATGAAAGCGTTAAAGTGTTGTTGTGTGGCGAAACCATTAACAATCGATAGTTTATAGCCCAGTGTCCAGGCAAAAACAACCGTTGCAACTATGGATGATGACTGATTCCATGGGGCGTCGTCACTTTTCATCCACCCGACTCCTGTCGGCGGGATGCAAGACCATATGTCATATCTCCACGCTATCCAACGACGAACGTTATAGCCGCAGCAGTCCGTTGTCCTCTTCTCGCACCCGATGTCCTGCGCCAAGCCAATAAGCCGGTGCACTACAGTATGTACGGAGCAACATCTTCGGCCAAGATTTTTGGATCCCTCCATTTTATTTCCTCTCTGGTCCGGATCTGCATGGACACACACATATCTTGGATCTTTCTTGTTCTGGCAACGGATCTTTGCTATATTCACACACGCCGCCACAAACACGTTGGATGGATGGTTTCGTTTCGCGAAAACTAACGGCTCTCTCCGGAAGCACAAGCCACCCCCTTCCCCACCACCATCTCCCACACTCTCCTCCTCATCTCCTCTCTCCTTCCTCTCTCCCTCGCTCTCCACCGCTGCTAGTAGCTAGCACAGGGTGTGTACAGCAGCAGGTGAGAGACCCTGTTGATGCGTGAAGTGGTTTGTCGCGCCGTCTCAAGCAATGGCTCGGTGGGCTTCTGCCGCTCACCGTGCGATTCTTTTGCGAGAGACCGAACCTTTCCCTGGTTGGAAGGGTGTGCAGCAGCTACTCTACTGCTGTAGCTCAGCTGCCGGACTCGCGAGAGGTCACGAGTAGAGTCCGGAGTGTGCTCTGCTGGGTTGCCACTGAAGCGCGTGCGTGCCTGGCTGTGACTGTAGCTAGTAGTACCAGGGATACGCACAGCTGACTGCTGCTGACTGCTGTCAAATCATCACGGCCACGCGCGCGAGTGTCTGTTTTTTGGCTGCTGATGAGGTAGGTATCTTTCTTTTTGCGTGCACCGGCAGCAGCAGCAGTTACGCAGAAATGCAGCCGCACGCGAGACCCCAATCACCGCTGTCGAGCGGAGTGCTAAGAGTCCAGCTCGGAGGACACTTTGCAACGCACACGCTTTTTCGTTCTCGGCAAAAGACAGTTGTGCAACGAAAGAGACTCGCACGACTGCTGTCGCTGTGTCCGATATATGTGATTCTTGTTTGTATTTGGTGGTCGAAAGTCTCAGCGGTACTCTACTTTGCATACCATCCCGATCTTGTACCACCATGCGTATCGTTTTTTTTGTTCGTTTTGCAACTGCTGCTGCTGATGCTGCTGCCACACGTGTACCGCCGCACTGCTGCTTTCTCCCTTTCCGCCCCCCAGACAGCAGCTACCAGGATCATGACGAGACTCGCCGCAGCTCTACTGGTGTGTGCCACGCCCGTAGCTTCACTGGAGACCTCCCTCAGGGGCGCCGAGGTGGGTGTTCTTCATGAACGCATAATTGTTGGATGCGCTTTTTTCTTTTTCTACCAGTACTTTCTTGTCAGAAAACTGCTTGCTTTCTACGTGGGCTCTTGGTGTCTTGCAGTGTTGCTGAAGGTATGTACCAGGTATGTAAAGACGAGGAGATTCCCTTCCGCCAAAAACGTACCAGCCCCGGACGTGCCACACATGCTTTGCCTCCAACGTGGCGACACCGTCCATGTTGCTCTCAAGATGAAGCGACCACACTACTTGTAACAGACAACAGATTACTTCTTTCTTTTTGTTTCATACACTCCTCTGCTGTCAGACCGCTGGCCGACGCCACAAAAATACCGTGAAATTACTTTTCGATCCAACCGCCATCTCGCTTTGGAGAAAAACGTACGATTTACACACCACGCACGTCGGCAAATAATCAACGAGAGAGAGAGAGAGGACGTGCGGAATTTTGGTTGACCCTACTGAGCAAGCAACGCGCAACGTTACATTTACTTACAGACGTTACATTGCTACTGCTTCTACTGCTGTTCATAAGCCGTGCCACATGTGACCGCACTTCATGGAACAGCGATTCCCTTGGTTGCAGAGAAACAAGCAACCGGCCACGGAATTTGCCGTTGGTTCTCCCGTGAGCCAGCCCCCTTCCTCTCAGCCTTTTTCTTCTCCCTTTGCGCAAAGCACCCGACCAACCGTCTTTACTCCGAAGACGGCCCGACGGCCCGGCTCAATCGACGCGTCATACATGGTCGCAGCATAGTCACAACGTTGGGCACGGGTGACTCATCGTTAAGAGCACTGCAGCCCGAAAGCAGTGGTCGCGTACGTCTTGTTGATCATGGCGCCCAGGCGCCCAGAAGAACAACTGTACGCAGATGTGTCGACAAGTGCGCGACTCTTTGGCACCTCAACCGCACCACATACAAGCGCAACAAGTACTATATCCCGAGTGTAGATATTACGCTGGAGTTTGCACATCTGAACAACAGTGAAACGTGGCGGCCATGAAACTTCATTTTCGGTCGTTTCACATTTGTCGTACGCTTCCCGCCCCGCCCCCCTCCCGACGCTCCTGTTAAGAGCACATGCATGCGTGCCAAGAGCGTCCAGACGTCGCTCGCTTATGGCAAACGCTCAAACCGGCAAATAAAAATATGCCAACTGCTCTGTGAGGAAAAGGGAGATGGTAAATTAACAGCGTTTTGGAGGTGTGATAATCAAAAACACAGGCTCGCGAACATGCTGTAAACGACAACAGCAAGCAGCGCACAAGATTGATGAAGAACACGATGAATTAATAATTAACATCGCTTGTGGCTGTATCACCACCACCGCCGCGTCAGGTTTCAGCGGGAGGGGCGCGTCGCGGGCTCTCGGGAAGTAGCTATGAGGCCTACGAGCACGTCGGCTGCTACGTCGACAACGGCATGGTGAACGCACGCCCTCACCTGCCGCTCGTGATGGAAACGATGACGAACGAGGTGAGCAGAAGGCTCGTCATGCACGCGCCGTGAGAAACTTGGGTTGGTGTACTTGTTGCCAACCCATGACACGGTCGAGTTCCACGAAGCAAGGGTTGACGAATCGATCATCGGCCTACAGCAGTAGGCCGCGTCCTTTTGTCATACATGCTGGTTTACTTGTATCTACTTGTATTGAGTAATGACATCGCCGCCACGCCCTACGTGTACGCTTTGTACCCGAACGACTTGCAACAGATGTGCTACGACCGCTGCCACGAGCTCGGCTCGTTCTTCATGGGGACCCAAAAGGGCAACGAGTGTCGGTGCTCTCGCGAGGAGGACCTGGCCTACTCTGCGTTCGATTTCGGAGTCTGCGACATTCCTTGCGCCGGCGACTCGGTGAGTTGCATCCTCTTCTTGCAAGTAATCTACGAAGATTGCGCTTTTGCCGTTTCGCCTGGGTCACCGGTGGTGTTCGATGCGGAGTGGAAGGCCTTTGCTGCTTCTGCTTTTTCTGCCGCTTGGGGAACAATCCGTCGTGTGCTGTGTCTTACGGGTGACAACCCGACGTGAAGATGAAACCAAGGTTGCTATGCATACACCAGTGGTTGCTACACCAGTCCTCACCTGTCACGGTGGTTCTTCATGACGTTCGCCTACCAAGTGCGGCGGCCGATGGTGTAATTCCTCGCGCCTCTGGCGTTCGGCTCAAAAAGAAGTGCCGAGCTTCGGGTCGAACGGCATCAGACGGACACGTTTTTCGTTCACGGTTGTGCGTGTAAAATGCCTCTAGTTTATTCGTGACGGCAACGGTTACTGCACCTCAACTCTCACCCCCCTCGCTCCCAGGACGAGACCTGTGGCGGCCAACTCACGATCGACTTGTACAAGCTGACGGCGGCGCAGACACCGGACCACGAGGAGTATGTGGGCTGCTGGTCGGACGCGAACGAGAGCCGCGTGATGGAGGACATGCTCGTGGACGAGGGCATGACGACGGACATGTGCCGCGACCACTGCGAGTCGTCGGACGCCGTGTACTACGCCACCCAGTACGGGAACGAGTGCTTCTGTGGGTACTCTAGCGACCCCGAGGACTACGAGACCCACGGGTTGGGCACCTGCCACATGCACTGCGGGGGTGATTCGGGGAGTGCTTGCGGTGAGTTTGGTTGACATGAATAGGGCAAGGGTGTGTTGGGTGATGGTATGGGTCTGGCAGATCCTAAGCGTCAACTCCTTCGTGTTTGCCCCAGAACGCGACGATTAAAAGTGCGATTTCATCCCCCGACGGAGAGAAAAAAAGAAGCCACTTCGGAGTTCCTCACCGCCGACGGAGAGAACTAGAGAAAATAGAAGCCAATTCGGAGGAGAAAACTTTTTACAGTGTCACAACCCTCCCCTCTTGTCATCATCCCTGCTGATCCCCTCATCCCTACCCCGCCCCCTCCGAAAAACAACGGCGGCACCAGGTGGCTACTGGGCGTTCTCTCTCTACCAGTTCGGGGCCGACGGTATGCCCGAGCCGGTGAGGAGTTTTTTTTTTTTTTTAGTGGAGGGCTAAAGGTGATCGATGGACCCGAGCTTCCCCAAAACCCCCGTGTTGCTTTTTTTAGTTCCGGCTTGCTTAATTTAGTTCCGTCGAAGGCGGATTCTCGGCCCCTCACCCAGCATGTACAGCAGAAGACATGTGGTCACAAGCGCTTATGTTGTGCCTTACCATGCGCTTATGTTGTGCCTTCCGTATGCTTTCGTTGCGATGATCCAGGATGTGCCCGAGTCGACCCCGGAACCCACCCCGGAACCCACCCCGGAACCCACCCCGGAACCCACCCCGGAACCCACCCCGGAACCCACCCCGGAACCCACCCCGGAACCCACCCCGGAACCCACCCCCGAGTCGACCCCGGAGCCGACCCCGGAGCCCGTTTCTTCTGGCGGCGGCGGCGGAGACGTGTCCGGCGGAGAATACGGAATCACCTTCAACGGCGAAGGGACCTACTACACTGGGACCTCGGCAGGCAACTGCGGGTTCTTCGACGACTTCCCGAGCATCTACGATGGCATGACCCCAGGTTAGGATGAGGACACGAGGGATGGTGATTGTAGTGCACCCCACGTTGTAGGATTTTTTTGTAATTTGTTGGTGTTTGCGTACAGTAGCGACTTCAGACGTGCCTTGATCTATTTATACGGCCGAGCTAAAGATTTGAGAGTTCCGCGGAAGTTTGTTCCCCTTGTGTTGACGGCTTGGAAGGGAAGTTGGTTCCACCGTAGGACTCCCCGCCCCCGAACTTTTGCCATTCCGGTCCACCATCGTGCCCCCGCTCTGCTGGTGCTGCTTGTGTGAACAGTGGCGCTCAACGAGCCGCAGTACGGCGACTCGCTCATGTGCGGCGCGTGTGTGGAGGGAGAGGGGACCGGAGGAGGAAGTGGAAGCGACCCGGTTGGCACCTTCAAGGGCTTCATCATGGACAAGTGAGAGCATGGGAAAATAACTAAATAAACAAACGCGCGCGTTCGGTACTTTCGTTATGTTTTGGGTTTTGGCGTCCAAACCAGCCCATGTCCAACGACAAGTATGAAGACCTGCTTCGCCCCCTCGCTACATGCATGCGCTGCGTTCCTTGGTTTGGTTTATGAAATCTCAAGAAACTAGATTGTTTTTTCTCAACACTTCCGCTTCCTGCCATCCCCCCCCCTCTTGCTCTGCACGAACCAACACCACCGCTACAAATCAATTGTGGTGGGCCACAGGTGCCCGGAGTGCTCGGAGGGAGACCTGGACTTCGGGACCGGGAAGGACGGCCGCTGGGACATCAAGTGGAAGTTCGTGGAGTGTCCCGCCGGGGAGGAGGTCTCCTTCAAGGTCGAGCAGAAGACCGAGTACTACTGGAAGATCCAGCCCCGCGGGACGGCCACTCCGGTCGAATCGCTCACCATCGGCGGCAGGGCGGCGGCGAGAACCGACGACAACCACTTCGAGCTGGAGCACCCAAGCGGTGACCCGTGGTACGAACCGCAGATGGTGGTGACTACCACCGTCGGAGGCGTCGTCGAGGAGACGGAGATGTCTGTTTAAGGGGAGGAGGGGAGGGACGCGCTCTCTGATGGGAAGCGCCGCCTCCCTTGTCCTTGTAGTAGTGGCTGGCTGGCACAACGCAGCTCAGTCCCCCACGTCTTTTTCACACCGTGCCGGCCAACCCCTCCAACCGATGGCGTTGGGCCGAGTATTTTTAGCGGTGGACGGAAGCATTTTTACCCTCTCGACCCAAACGAACCCGGCTTGGCGCTGTAGATGGTGCCTTGCAACGACGGGCTGATGATGCACAGATGGGAAGAGCTGTGAAACGGGCGCATGTAGCGGCGACGGCGGCGGAGTAGAGCGGGTTGCTTGCACGGTACACGTCCTAGGAAATAGCACCATCGCTGTACTTACCTGTTTACAGTTGTCGGTGTGTTGTTCGTTCTTGGTGGCGGGATCATGAGGGTATTTTTGTATCTTACGACGTTGAGATCTACTTTTTTACAATTCTCTACTGTGTGGGTAAAGGGAAAGAGAGGGGGGAATATAACCTGTGGTGGTGGTCGTGCACGCAGGCATCCATCAAACGGTTTGTGAACGATCAGGTGCAAGGTGTCTAGTTGTAATCAGATTTGTTGGGTCTTTCCTGTCGGCGGCGATGCGGTAGGTTCCGCCTCCTCCCCTTGAAACCTTTTTTTAAACTTGGTCTGCCTAGCTGTACGAAACGTTTTCGCACGGCGTTTTTTCTCAAACCCGTAGCGTCGAGGGCGCAACAGGTTCTTCTCCGTTGGTTGCGTACACTACCGTCGGTTTCGTCTGGTTGACCTGGCGGCGGAAAACGAGATGGGGCGCGGTAGGTGATGAGGGTAAACGAATTTTAGAGAGCTTCTGGTTGTTGTGGGGGAATCTGTAGATTGGCTTGGGTTTGTTGAACTTGCGGAAGGAATTTGTTGAACTTGCGGAAGGAATTTGTTGAACTTGCGGAAGGAAAAGGATCACACATGCATGCGCAAGATTTTGCTGACTGAGTGTCTTCGGGTGTAGCGGAATGCGTCGCGATTTCCCGAACGACCTACAAAGTAAATGATGCATGTTTTTGAATGTTTCCAGTGACGACGGGTTATAGAGCTAGTTAGGGTAGGTGATGACGTGTAACCAGTCAAAATTTTTTGTTTCCTGGGCCGGTTTGAGATGATCGATGCGGCTTGTGGTTGTTTGATTGTATGGGGTGCTCTTCTTGTGCTTTTTGATGGGTGAATACGTTTTTGTCTCCTCTCGCGCTTACGCATATTTTAGCGACTCGTGCGTGGCTTACGTCGCATCTCGTGCCTTTTTAATGGTCGTTTTTGCTGTTGCAGGAAATAGGTATTTTTCTTCTATTGGTTACGTTGGTTGTGGGTGGACCAGTTGAGTATTCGGTTTCGCTTGTTGGTCGTTCCTGGCCCGTCATTGCTCTCTTTCTTCTGTATAGCGTGCTGCTCTCGTTCCTCTTGTTTTCGTTGGTACGTACTTGAATGATACTCATTGCTCTCTTTCTTCTGTATAGCGTGCTGCTCTCGTTCCTCTTGTTTTCGTTGGTACGTACTTGAATGATACTTCTGTACACCAAATTCATCATTTTTCACTACAAATAGCGTAGCTGGTTTACGGGGACATCTAGGCGTGTTCCGTTTTTCGCCCATGTGAACAACGCTCCGGTTTCGTGAGAATCGTGTCGGAGGATCCCTCAAGGAAAAATAAATACACCCGCAGCTCATTTTTTCTCTCGGCGAAGCAAGTGCGCCCGCATCCGTGAGAGGACTCATTCGTCGAGCTCCTCTCATCCCAAAAGCTCGCGAGCGAGATACACCTGTAGACAGGGCGCCTGCTGGTGTTCTCTTTTATTGTTTGGGATTTCGGAACAAGACCACCCACCCCTTTTACCGGCAGGAGAATGACTTTGAAGGGATGCCTGCCTGGCGACAGGGCAAACCTCTATAATTATACCTGCCGGTGTCCCTTTTTTTGTCTTCTTCCTGATTTCGGAACAACCTCGAACAACCACGACCATATGCCCAACACCCCACAACCTACCCCCTTCTCCCGAGAGAGTTAGACCTTGGTGGCTGAGGGACACATGATAGGAAATATTATTTTGCACACGATGGGCTATCGTCCAAAACGAGCGCACCGATATTCATTGCAGGGATGGAGAAAACACATCAACACTCGGAGAAAACGTCAACTCTCGGAAAAAAATAGTAGATGTAACACGGCATCATCACCACTCTGCACTGGAAAAAAGACTGCCCGCTGGCGAAAGATAACCCGCGTTCGAAGCGGAAAAAAATGAAAGCAAGCACCTCGAGAGAGGAGATGCCGTGTCTACGCGCCAACAATAGTCTCCTCAATGTATATTTGCAAACACAGAAAGACTAGACTACACTAAAGTACCCTTCCGAAATATGACCACAGCAGCAGCAGCAGCAGTCGATTATTATTATTAGCTCATTGGACAGACAGACAGAAAAGAGCCCAGAGGGTAAATTAGGAAGGGGGTCCATAAACAGTTTTCTAGGCATATGTGTTAGACCTGCGTTTCTACTTGTGTGGAGCAACGTACTTATGTGTACGCATATGTATATGTACGCGTGATATCCGTATGCATATGAGGAGATGTCGTGATGTCGTGATATCCGGCCCTCGAAAAAAAAAGAAAGTACATACATGGTAGTCTACATGCGCATGTGCCTGTTCGCGCCGTTCCGTCCCTGGTTATTTCACCGCATGCTCGTCGCCCCTTCTTTCGCCTCCTGCCCTCTCTCCCTCCCTCTCTACATAGTCTCCCTCCAACAGGCCGCATCGGCCAGCCCTTGCCCAAACGAATTCCCAATCCTTTCCCTCTGTTTCGGGCTCTCTGAGTTCCACCGTCGCTGCGTCTGTCGGCATCTTTCCGCACGTACGGCCCTCTCGAAAACGGTGATCATGGCGACTGCTGCTGCAACACAGAGGCCTCCTGTTCCGCGGCTAACGTTGCCGTCTACCGAAGCAGCGGTAGGGACAGGAGTCGAGAGTCCCACTTTTAGGAGGCAGATTAATGTGGCCCTTGGAAGGATGCACAGCCAGCGAACTCCTCGACGCGACGCCGTTTTCCACATCAAGGATGGCGGTATGGTGCAGAGGACGCCTCTGGCAATGGCAACGTCGATGTCTGCCAGGACGACGGCGCAGCCTGGCGAGGGCGGCGAAAGTACGAAGGAAAAAGCTTTCTGCACCACTCTCAGGTATCGCGTGCCGCTCTACGCTGCTAGTAGTTCTCACAAGTTCGTCGTATGGACAACGATAGACAACCGGGCCGCTTGGCAACGCCTGTGTTTGTCGATCGCAGTCTCGTGTGCATTTCGTCTCGACAGAGCATTTCGCAGAGCTCTCTGCTGGCTGTTTCTACACAGTACAGTCAGAGGATGCGGTTGATACCCATCTTGCCCGCCGTATGCAGCAGTCAAGACTACGATCATAACCAACACTGTTCAGGTGTTCGCATTGCATTCATTCGCGTCATAATTTAGTCTGCACCACGGTATGTCGCCCGCAAGAAGACCTAATCATTCTTTAGGTGTTCAAACGCACGGATGGTTGGTTTCGACTATGTAGCATACGCGCTCACTTCTTTTCGAACCGACATCATTAATACATCGACGCTAGGGTATTCACCTCAATCACGCTCCTTTTTTGCCCGCAGATCCCATTGGGTGACAAGCACTCAGTCGATAGCCCCGGCCTTCTCTCCTCCCAAGACCAACGAGCCGAAAGGCACCTGGTACGAGCAAGCCGACAAGGTATTTCGGTTCTTCGGGTTCATCGTCGACCAAGTGGATCCAACGAGCCGACAGGTGTACTGCTGTACTCTCCTACGAACTTCCGAAATACCGGAGCCCGGAATATGGCTTTTTTGCATCTCACGTCTCTGGATCACCGATCATTTCTTGATATTTATCTTTATATCAACGTCGGAGGAGGGAACTCACTGGCTCTGTACGTCTACCGGTGATCCCTCCAACATGAATTGAGAACGGCAAGCAAGACGATAGTGCTACTGGATTAGCAGAGTATCAAGTACCAGTGTTTGGTGAGCCTGAATTGAAACAGAAGGCCTCCGCAACAATAATATCGAACAGCAGTATGCCTACCTGCGCCTGATGTGTTGTGGCACCTCAAGAGGTGGTGGTGGTAGACCCTCGACAGAACAACCAAAAAACATCAGTATCAGGGTCACTTTCCAGATGTTCGAAGGTTGTTCCGGCGGTGACGGCAACAACACACAGCCCCGCTTGCGAGGACACTGAGTCGGAACCGCGCGCACGGCTGCCGCCGCCGCCGCTGCCAACAACGTAAACGCAGGCACCCCCCAGCGTCCGCCTGGTGATCATCCACTACTACCCGCAAGATTCGACCCTGGAAGTGCTCGAGTCAAAGGAGACCGCCTATCCCGGCGCCGGTCGGTCTTTCGCACTCCGACGACCGTCCAGGGTGTCCCTGGACGAGATCAGGGTTGGCGAGGACGTACTGGTGAGGGGTGTTACACAGAAGAGCCAAACGTTGGTTCATTCATTGGGCTTCATTTCAAGTTGTAGTATGCCTGCGAGCGGTGTTGAGTCATGCTCACTCTTTAGGAGCACCTTTTTTCCGTGTGAGAGTTTTTTTACATTTCCGGTTTTTAAAAGAGTGCAGCCCCGGTCCCGGTTTCCCTCGCCCCCCTTCCATTTTGCGAGCATCCCTTTCCGAATTTGTTTTTGGGTAGACGGGGGTATTAACCAACAAGGGATTGGAAGCATTTGGGGTCCCCCCTTTCCTTTTTTCCCCCCTTTCCCTTTTTTTGTCCATGTTTGTTTGTTTTTTTTTTTGTCCATTTGTTTTTTGGCCCCCCCCCCCCGGGGAAGAAATCAAGCAAGCAATTCGAGTACGTAGAGAGTCACACGCAAAATATGCGGCAGGGAAAACAGATGCAGGATGGAAGAAGTATATTGAAAGTAGAAAGAGGGTGAAGGAATTGGTCGTGAAGAAGAAGAAAGGGTTGTGGGAGGAAGTAGTCCAAAAGACTAACGAAGATTTTGAGGGGGGATGAAGCAAATGTGGGTAGGAATTCAAGGGATAGTGGGCAACAAAAGAGGGGGAGGCACGGAAATAACGACACTAAGATCTGCCGAGGGTAATATAGTAAGCAGTTCTAAAGGAAAGAGGGAAGTACTAGTAGAGCACTACCGCAAACTTGGGACACCCACCACCAACGACAACTTCGACTCGGAGTTTGAGAAGGAAATCAACTCGTGGGCAGAGGAAAACGTTGAAAGATCTCGGAGGGAACGTAGTGATATAGACGGGTTGCAGGGAGAGTTCACACGAGAAGAGGTAGAGGACTGCGTAGCGAAACTCAGGAATAGAAAAGCGGCAGGGGCTGATGGAATTGTGAATGAGCTTTTGAAACAGGGGGGGGAGGGGATGATTAACATGTTGGTCCGGATATTCAACTGGATATGGAAACACGAGTACGCGCCGAAGAGATGGAGAGAAGGAGTAGTCGTGAACCTGTTCAAAAAGGGGGGATAAAGCTGACCCGGGGAATTATAGAGGGATAACCCTGCTGAGCACAGTGGGGAAACTGTTTGGCAAGATGATAGACAATAGAATGGGAGACATGTTGGAGGGGAAACAAAAGATCAGCGAAGGACAAGCTGGATTTAGACCAGATCGTAGTTGTGTAGACCATGTATATACGTTGAGTAAAATTATCCAAGGTAGGAAAGACGCCGGGCGTACGACATACTGTTTCTTCCTAGATGTACAAAAAGCCTACGACATCGTATGGCGCAATGGATTGTGGAAAAAGATGTGGGACATCGGGATCCGGGGGGAAATGTTGTTGTTGTTGTTGTTGTTGTTGTTGTCTTCACATTAAAAACCGTTCCGATCTCTCTCTACCCAGTACCTTCGTATGTCCGTACTGATCCAACACTCGACGCGGTCGATTGCCGTGGTCACAGGTTAACTTACCCTAAAAAGGTACACTCAAATAAACTGGCCCCGAGGGGTCCGCAAGTCAATAGAAATGTGGAGGATGTTGAAAAAGATGACAGAATGCACAAGAAGTGCGGTGATGTTGGATGGGGAAATTTCGAAGTACGTGGATATACTCCAAGGAGTCGCACAGGGCTGTACGATGTCACCCACTCTTTTTAAGATTTACATCAACGATTTGATAAGGGCGGTTGAAGCAGTAAGACAGGGAGTCCAAGTAGGGGGAAAGAGTGTGTCCGGACTGATGTTTGCAGATGATTTCGTGGGGGTATCTGAAACACCAGAAGGGTTGCAAGAACAAATAGACGCGGCGGTAGGATACACCCGAAAATGGAGACTGTCGGCGAACGTAGGAAAATGCGCAGTAGTGGTCTGTAACGAAGACAAGAAAAATCCCGTAGAATTCAAATGGAAATGGGGGGAGGAAGAACTACCGGTAGTAGACAAGTATACGTACCTGGGAGTAGAGATTTCGAAGGAGTGCTCATGGGACGCACACATAGCGAAGTTGATTGGGAAGGGTAAAGCTCAGATAGTCAAGATGGACGAGATCCTTACGGACCCACACCTAGACACTAGGATTAAGAGGTGTATTCTCTTGAATGTGATTGTACCTAAGCTAGAGTATGCAGGAGAGGTATGGGAAGGTAACGAAAAGGCCGTCAAGCAGCTGGAAACGGTGCAGATGGCAGCGGCCAAGAAAATACTAGGATGTTCAAGTACAACGAGCAACACTGTATTGAGAGCAGAATTGGGAATGTACTCTCTTTAAAACAAAGAGAGACATGCAGAAGTTGAATTGGCAGTACAAGGTAAGTAGAATGTCGGACGATAGACTACCAGCCATGGTTGACAAGGCAGCTTGGGCAAAAGCGACTCCAGGGAAGAAGGGAATCAGATGGGACAAGGTGGTAGAGAAGGTTTGGAGGGAGATAGGAGACGAGGAGGAGACGTTGGACACGGAAGGGTTCGGGGGGTTCAAGACGAAAGTCAAGGAGATGCTAGAAAGTAGGGAGGAGGCAACCCTTCGGAAGAAGGTACGAAGCGAAGACCACTTGGAGATATACGGGAAGTTGAAAGAAGGGATAGGGATGATGACGTACTTGGACGGCCCCATGGACTACGCGAAAAAGCTGAGATTGCAATTTCGAGTAGGCGATCTGGACTTGCCAGAACGGAGGAAGAGGTATACCAGCCGTAGGAGAGAGGAAGAGGAGGATAGACACACATGTCCATGTGGCAAATCGGAGGAGAGTAGACCCCACATAGTTGGGGAGTGTGAGTTGTACAGGAAGGAAAGAGAGGATCTCGAGGAGGAAATGAGACAGAGAGGGTGTGACATGGACAAGTTTGGTAAATTAGACAACAGCGAAAAAACAATCGCGATAATTGGGGATAGATGGTGGGCACAAGAGGCCCTAGAGGACGGGGATAAGATGTGCAAGAATTTTTTATGGAGTTTGAGGCAGAAACGTAAAGAGCTCCCAAATGTTGGTGGTGTCTCTAGTAGGGGTAGGAACGGTGCTCCGTCTCGAAAGGGACGCGTGGTCAATGGTCAAATGACTACGGCAAGCAACAAATGAGTACCCCCCCCCCCCCCCCGGGGTTTTCTCTGTCCCCCTCCCTCTGTCCATTTCCCTCCTATGAGTAACTGTCCCTCCGTGGCTTTTTGGGCAATTTGAAATAAAAACCTAACCACCGTCAGCCCGACAACCAGGGCGTGGGCCGAAAAATCCCCGGCCCTGGCTCCCCCCCCCCCAACAAAAATCCTCCAAATCCACTTTTCGGAAAGAAAGGTCCCTGATAGTTCTGGTTCCTCCAAAA